CTAGAGCATCCTTCCCTCCTCTGAATATTATGAACATTCTGGTAAATGAGTTTTTTATCGGAGACAATATCAAGTTTAGCCACCATCAATTTGTTTTTGAGATTATTTTAAGATCTTTCACCAAAATTGAGTCGCCACTAGGTCTTTTAATAGATGTTAAAATATCGGAAGCCAAGGACAAAACTTCAGATGAGTTTCCCTCTAATCCAGCAATAACAATATTATTTCTCTGACGTTCATTTATTGATGAATCCAAAAGATATAAGAAATAGAAGGTCGAAGCAGTAGATGAGGTATTTAAATTTGAAATGTCTTCCACCTTCTTCTCTACATTGAGGAGACGTTGTTCAAAATCTTTATGCAAATTTGCCAACCATTCAAATTTAGTAGATAAATCTTCAAGTTTAGTCAAAATGGTATCAATTTTTTTTCTAAAAAGGAAAATAAAGTTTGGGGTACATTTGAAGAAGAAACCAGAGGAGGAAAAAAAGATTCCAATCGCTGAGATTTCAAAGTCTGTTCACTAGGAGATCTTTGACGTTTTCCAATAACTGATATAGATGACTTTGAAAGATGGGAGGAAGTGGAGTGCGAGACATCGGTCCAGGGTTAGATTCAATACCTCCAATTACCAATAAAGCACATAATAATAAATATATATCAAAATCTTTAATGAAACCAAGATGAAGAACCAGACACTTTGTAGAAGTAAACATATCCAAAGCACTATAATTCAATAAAAATAGCTCGCTCAAAAACTCACCAACATTGACGAACGTTGGAAGCGCCCCTGGAAGAATTTATTAATTTACAATCCACAATTAATACACAATCCTATATATACAGTACTGTACAGTCAACTAACTGCTTATTTACTGTACAATGCAATATTTATATACAATATAGTACCTTAACTAGCACACTAGCAAGAAATCAAAAAAATACAGTAATTCTACTTATTTCCCAAAACTGAATTTAGCACTTCACATTTAAAAGTGTGACAGATAATCAAATTTACTGTAATACAAAATGGTTATATTTTATTACAGTATTTCTCAATTTTTCATGAAATTCAAACAAAAATCAACAAAAAACTATTAGAATTTATCAATTTTGACTTATTCCATTTCGCTATTTTTATAAACTATATTAAATTATTTACAAGGAGAGCCTACGGCTTTGGGGTAACGGATTTTGACAATCTTTGGTGTAGAAGTAGTACACCATGTGAGTGTACTACGTGTAAAATACTAAAGTGCAATACTCAAATATAATCAAGAAAATCGAACTTAAAGTTTTTTAGCACTTTATATATAAATTATACGTACTTCTATTTGAGCGTCCTGTGGCAGAGTGGTAACGAGTCCGATTCATAAGCTTGAGTTCTCGGGTTCGATTCTCGCGTATAATTTTTTTTTTAATTCATAAATACTTATAATGTATTTATTTATTTACTCATTCATTTCTTATTATTTATTTATTTTAATTTAATTTCTACTATTCCAAGTCTAATATTTTTATACTTTTGTTGACAATAACGGCGCATTCTTGACACCTATGTGTCAACTTTCCCATCTAATTGTTATCACTAACGGTGACCGATCTAATTCTCACTAGGAGCGTTTTTCTATCAGAGTTCTTTTTCACTCACTCTTTAACAGTTCGTTTCTAAATTTCGACACGAATAGACGTATTTGTGTAGTAAAACTTATTTTGAAAAATTATTTTATAATCAAAAAATGTCGTCAAGAGAAGCAAGTTCTTCACGTTGTGACGAAAAAACTGTTGATGATAACTCTTTATACAGTGATGTAAAATACTAACTTGTAAAGTGCAAAACTCAAATATAACCAAGAAAAACGAATATAATTTATTGAAGCAATATTATATAATTACATATCATTGTCAGATGTACATGATCGTGAATGATACTTATGATAAAAACATTCAAAACAAAAATTCTGTCTACACCAAGAACAACAAATAAATGCTGCTTTTTTAAAAGGTATCATCAACAGTTTTTTCGTCACAACGTGAAGAACTTGCTTCTCTTGACGACATTTTTCGATTATAAAATAATTTTTCAAAATAAGTTTTACTACACAAATACGTCTATTCGTGTCGAAATTTAGAAACGAACTGTTAAAGAGTGAGTGAAAAAGAACTCCGATAGAAAAAACGCTCCTAGTGAGAATTAGATCGGTCACCGTTAGTGATAACAATTAGATGGGAAAGTTGACACATAGGTGTCAAGAATGCGCCGTTATTGTCAACAAAAGTATAAAAATATTAGACTTGGAATAGTAGAAATTAAATTAAAATAAATAAATAATAAGAAATAAATGAATGAGTAAATAAATAAATACATTATAAGTATTTATGAATTAAAAAAAAAATTATACGCGAGAATCGAACCCGAGAACTCAAGCTTATGAATCGGACTCGTTACCACTCTGCCACAGGACGCTCAAATAGAAGTACGTATAATTTATATATAAAGTGCTAAAAAACTTTAAGTTCGATTTTCTTGATTATATTTGAGTATTGCACTTTAGTATTTTACAGGTAGTACACTCACATGGTGTACTACCTCTAAACCAAAGATCATCAAAATCCGTTACCCCAAAGCCGTAGGCTCTCCTTGTTAGTGTAGAAAGAAAATTTAGTACAAAGTGGTTCTGCATAGTACTTTATAATTATAATTACTTTGTTAGCTATTTAATTAAACAAAAAAATATGAATATTTTACTATTCAGTTTATCAAGTTAACTGAGTCATAGAATGTGCATAAACTTATTTATCACTAGCAGATGTTGCTCGGGCAAAAAGTAACGATAGCAAAGATTAAGATTATTAGATTATAGCCAATCTTATTACCCGTTTTCACCAGGTGCAAGAATTAGATCCCCCTCTTTCGAGACTAATTAGAAAATTTTTAGATATCTGCTTACCACACTGGAATAATAATTAAGATTCACAGCAACCACTAACTGGTGCATAGTACCACTAAGTGATGAATAACAAACGTTTTCATAACTCTTTCTGGGTTCTTCTTCAGGTTTAATAAATTTGAAAAATAAGCTGGATCTTCCAGAATAATTCATAATTAATGTTCGATTTTATGTTTGAATTCATATTTATGATGAAAAGTTTGAATAAAGAGAACTTATGTGCATGCACTCCCTGTGTCAACTTCATATATAATGAAACACTAAATTGAAATATAAATGAAACACTATTGTTGAGAATTTTTAGAAGGGTCTAAAAATACATTAGATTTCCCACATAAATGTAGGAAAGGCATCTAAAATAGTACAGTAGAAGCTGAGTTCTTCAGGTTAATCCTCTCCCCCCACAGTGGGAATTTCGAAAAATCCCTTCTTAATGTGCATTCTCATGGCATACCCTATTAAAACACAATGAAAAACACAAAAAACTGCATCTAAAATAGTATAACAGAATCCAAGTTCTTCACAGTAAGCTTTAATCCTGTCCCTCTTCCCTACGGGAGGATTTAAAAAAAAATCCCTTCTTAGTGTACGTTGTCATGATGTTCCCTAACTGTGTACCAAATTTCAACTTTCAACTCCTAACCGTTTGGGCTCTGTGCTTATTATTATTATTATCATTATCAACCCATCTCAATTACATTATAAGTAAATAATTATCTAGAACTGTTACACAAAAATTTACATTCTACGGAAAAATAAATACAAGCTAAAACTCTCCAATCTCTAATAATTTCAATGATTGCAATATTGAACTTATTATATTTATATTATTAATATCTTGCACTAAAATTAAAAAATGACTATTGCAATCCATTGTTAACACTTTTTGAAGTTAAAATATAAAATAGCTTTATCAATATTAATAAATTAGTAATTATAAATTATGGAAATTAACAAACTTGGCTTGGCATTCACATATTTATATAAGTAATTCTGATGAGACAATTTAAAATGTACAAATATGATATAATATGACACAAAGAAAATATTCATATTTATTTCCAGTAGCTTTTTTCAAAACAATTAAAACATTTGATTATATTTAACAGTCATCTTTAGGTTCTTTCTTTGTTTCAAAGGTGAGTTTTCTAAAGTTTCTTCAAATGTCAGAGCATTTATATAAATGATATAAAAGCAAACATTATGATTATTTGAGGTTTATAATAAAAAAAACATTCATGAATTGAAATGCATTTATAATTTTGAGTTAATGCATTCTCAGAAGTATACCAATCAACATTAAGAATGGAATCTGTTTCATATTAATTCTTTTGCTTTGAGAAAAGCTATTTCAAAGTTAAAAAAATATATTAAAAAATCTGCCAGGACAAATTCACATGTAGAAAAAATATATTTCCTTTCAGACTATACATATAATCGAGTCCATCTTCATTTGTCCCTTCACATGCAAATGAAGATGGACTCAATTATATGTATAGTCCAAAAGGAAATATTTTTTTTCTATATGTCTATTCCAAAGTTGTTAGGACATGCTTCTAGATCTTTGTCAATGCACACAAGAGAACATATTGTTGGCATTAGACTTTAGAAATTCAATAGAACATGAGCAATCTTTGCCTCACAACAGAAAAATGAAGTGTAGTCGAATTGATTAATGATTGTAATCCTAGTAAAAATCCAAACCATGCAAGTTTGCTGAAATTTGTAAAATATGTAACCATGAGCAAAGTTTGAGGACTGCATTAACTCAAAAAAGAAAAATTCTCAATGCATGGAAGCTCATATAGGAAATGGAAGAGTCTTCAAAATACCATTCATGATATTTTCATTTTATAGCTTATTTTAATTTTTGTTTATCTTACTTAAAATTTATATTATTTATATAATTGTTTCAATATATAAAAGACTTTTTAAAAGAATGAATGAACCTAAAGATGGAATTTTAAATACATCCAAAACTAGTCATTTTTATGGAAAATCCTATTGAAAAAAAAGAGCATTATTTATATTTTCAATTTATTTACTTACTTAATAAGTTCCAGAACATATCCAACATGATGCTCATTAAAGGCGATGATAACAAATAATTTTTGAATATGCATCTTTATAATTGCTTTGCCAATAAGTGTTGCACCAAAAAATGTCCAGAAAGGAACTAGAAAATGACCACAAGTTATTCCTGCCAGGTCAAAAAGTGGATTAGGAATCTGTGAGAAATGAATAAAATTAATTAAAATGTATCAAAAATTAACAGAATTGATTATAAGAAATAAATGAAAGATTTCAAGAATTTTGAATCCCAAATTTTTAGGATTTAAAATTTTATACAGTATATGTTATAAACACACTTGTTTTTGTACTTTTTTTGCAATTTATTAGAAGAGCTCAGGTTTTATATCCACAAAAAACCAAAAAAGTAAAAGTAAAAATTTCAAAAGAAAGAAATTCAAAAATAAATCTTTATCCGTAACACAGATAACAAAGAACTGAAATAGAATGAACAATCTATAAATCTCTATAATTTAAAATTTTTCAAGTAATATTTCCTTTTTGTTCCAGGAATTTTTGACAACCATTCTGAAATTGTTCTAATAAGTCCAGTTTGTTCAGATATCATTAAAAATTTAGAAGTTCAGGGACTATTATAAATTTATATGATTTTCTTAAGACCAGATCACTGTCACAATTATTCTCAAGTAAAAGTTCTTGAGCATTTAAGCTATATTAAATAATAGTGATATCAACCCATTCTTAATTTCACAGTGTAATGCAATGGTCCATAAAAATTTAAAAAATATCTGCTTATTTTAAATTTTTTTAGTGTAAAAATTTCCTTACATTTCAATATATATGTATATTTTTTGAAATGTAAGGAATACACACACACACGAGTATGGTGTATATGGGTTGCTCTGGAAAATTTTAAATGTTGCCACCATTTTGCCAGTTTTAAATTTTTTCATCTCTTCAAATTATTTATTGCACCAGTTTTACTTACTAATTAATGCAGGTGCTGGTAGACTTATCAGTTTGGCATCTAGAAAGCAAAAGTAACATGTTAAACTGTCATTTACAAGGAGATGGCAAACTTTCATGTCTCCAATTTGAATGATACTTGATGATCATGTAGACTTAAACACAAACAGATCCTTGTCTAAATAAAGGACCCAATTTTCAAATATTTCCAAAAAGCAGGCTTCTAAAAATTTAGTGTTTAGCTTATAAGTGTTTGGAACTTTCATAAACAAGAGTGGCTATGGCCAAGTGAATAAGATGCTAAGCATTAGAGTTAGTCAAGTAGGTTCGACCCATCAAAATTTTAGTTTATTTTTTTGTGTAACATTATTATTTTATCATTTTACTGCATTATTATTACTTATTAGCATTATTATTACTGTTATTGTTTCTCATGTTTAAAGCTTATGAAACAAGAGATTAAAAATTGTGACAAGGTTTAATCATGAGGAATAATAATGCTAATGGGGGTGCTCCGATCATCATAGCTGTTGGCATGAACTTTTTCCTACTTCCATACTTAATCTACTTTTTCAAGTAATGAAGAATTTTTAATTATTTTTGACTAAAAGGAATAATATCAAGCTTCTTACTTTATTGTTATTGATTGCTGGAATAGAACCAAATCCCGGTCCCTTACAGAAAACTCCAACAAAGAGAGGAAGACCACCACTTACTTGTCAAAAATTGCTGACTGATAGTATTAAACCATTGGAACCAGATTCAAACCTTATCACTGATTATACTGAACCTAGAAGAGCCGAATCATTATTTCAAACAGATGAGCTAATTAATTTAACTTCCTCACAAGAACAATTACTTGTGGAACAAATAGACATTTCAACAGCAGAATTATGGAAGAAGATAGTCAAACTAATAACTAATAGTAATGATAAGCTGGTGAGTCAATTTTCACTTATAAGACAAGAAATTAATATAATTCAAAATGAAATTAAAGAATTTAAAGATCAAATTCAACAAATAAGGATAAGAAATGATAAAATAGAAAATGAATTTACCAAACTAAGACTAGAAAATGAACTAACTCAATATAAACTGGATACTATGACTAACACTATGAATAATAATAAAATTATAATTTATGATTATACAAATCAGCTTAAAAATATTACTAAAAATGAATTAGCAACATTTTTTTCTAATACTTTAAAAATAATTTGCAGCGAATCAGAAGATATAGTAAATATATATTCAATACCTAATTCAAATATTCAAATTAAGTGCATAGTATTAAAATCAAACCAACTAAGAAATAGAATCCTTGCAGCCTTTAATAAATTGAAATATAACAAGACACTGGGAAATTGGCAAGAAATTAATATGTCAGCTGATTTAAATAAAGATTCTCGCAAAAGAAGAAAAAAACTTTTACAATATTATACAGATTTTAAGAAACAAGGATTACAACTAAAACTGCGTGATGACTATCTGATAATTAATCGTCAAAAAATTACATATAGTTATATCCAAGATCAATTAGTATACGCTGATGATTTTTTGAAGTATTCTCTACAGAAAAACCCAATAACATAATTAATTCAGAGTTAGAATGTGAAAAGGATCAACATATTAAAATTTCAAATAATCTTAACTTATATATCACAAACTGGAACTGTTAAGTCTTAATCCACAAAATAAAAACTCAAGATTTCTTTTAACTACTATATAATACTGATATCTTGGGTATAACTGAAACCTGGCTAGTCACACTAGTTAATGAAATTATAAAAAATAGAATGGAATATACAATTATATCTTCTGACGCACAGAAACCAATAGGACCTGGGAGACCGCATGGAGGACTTTGTCTAATAGTAAAAAAAAACATTGGTTCTGCAAAATTTATACAAAAAGCAACTAATTATATTCTAATCTTATTACAAATTGATAATACTGAAATGAAACATTTATACAAAAAGTTAATTATTATAGTGTTAGTTTACGTTCAGCTTGACCAAATAGACTTACTAAATGAAATATTCAAAAATCTCGAAAAATGGAAAAATATCTCTCCACATGTATTATTATTTGGTGATTTTAACTCCAGAATTGCACAGATATTAGATTCAGAATATAAAGGACCAAATAATCTAATCTACTTTAACCGAAAATCAAAAGATAATAATCATAACAGATTGGGTCTTCAATTAATAAAAAATACTCAACAACTACAATTAATAATTTTAAATGGAAGAATAAAAAATGACTATCCATCTGAATTTACTTGTGTTGCGAATATTGGAAGTTCAGTAATAAACCTTAAGATATGTTCTGAATTGCTGTCTGACTCGTGTAAAAAATTCAAGTTTTAAATTGTGACATATCTGATCATTTAAATCAAATGTATAAAATTAATGATTTTTTTTAATCAAATCAAATGATCAATCAAATAATCAAATTTTTAATCAAATGATAATAAATTAATAAAACTAAAAAAATTGTTTTTTACTAATTATGTTACTTAAAGTAAAATATTTAAAAGATAAATAACGACAAAATTTACTATTAAACGGTTATTGTAATATTATTGATGATTTTGAAGATGATGTATATTAAACGATTGATAGATAACAAATGTATATTAATATATCATTGGAAAAATACCCTCTGTAATAAGGCTTAGCCTTAATACAAATAAAAATATTTGATTGATTGATAATACTGCTAACTATGTGGTAAAATAATAAAGTTACACATAAAATTAACTAAATTAGTAAGGGTCCCACACACGTTGAGGAAATCCTTTGAGGAATAACTGTGCAGGCCTGGCCTTAAGGAATTCCTGTTAGTGTGTGGGGGAAAACTGTACAGGTACAAGCCACTGGAGTAGAAACAAAAAACCATTTGACTTTCCTGCACAGTTTTGGACTACACAGGCCAACCATAATGTGTATGCTGTCGTGACGTTCAGTTGTGAGGCCTCTAAGTAGTGAGAACAATGTCTCGTGAATGTTTGGAAGAATTATTTTTTATAATCTTATTAACTTTTATTATTTATAACCTGAAAACTTAATTTTTCAGATTATAAATTATTTTCAGATCAAAAATTTCTCAAGTAAATCAAAATTATAAATAATTTTAATATTTAGAAAACTTCTCAATTCATTTCTTCTGTTTTCATAAAACATCTTGATACTCTATACCAGGGCTTCCCAAACTGTGCGTCGCGATGCCCTGGGGAGTCGCGGCGCTTTCATAGGGGAGTCGCGAGACGATACCCACCGGTCGCCTGCACACGACGTAATGAGTGAGTGCGCTGCGCATGCGTCTCATCACCCCGCTTCTCCAATTTCCCGCTCTTTCGTTTAGTCTTTTGTTTTCGTCGATTACAAGCATTGAAGAATCAGTGTTTTGATTTCAAGTGTGTTCTATTTAAATTGCGCATTGTAAAATGGATAACTTTATTCAAATAAATAGAAAACGTGTTGAAGACTCAGGAAAGAGTACAAAGGAAACTGTAGAAAAACGAAAAAAATACAGAAAATATGATGACCAATATTTAGATTTTGGATTTACTTACGTTAGCAAAGGAAATGTGGAACTACCCCAATGTGTTGTTTGTCATAAGGTGCTGGCAGCTGAAAGTATGCTTCCTAATAAATTGAAACGTCATTTAGAAACAGTTCACAGTAATTTACAAGGAAAACCGCGAGATTTTTTTGCAAGAAAATTGCGAGAACTGAAACATCAGTCGACATCCTTGTTTTCCAGAGCATCTATTTCCTCCAAAGCACTGCTCGCCTCTTATAAGGTCGCTCACCGTATTGCCAAATGCAAGAAACCACACACGATTGCTGAAGATCTTATTTTACCTGCAGCGATTGATATGGTATCAGTAATGATTGGAGAATCGGCGGCTAAAGAAATAAAAAATATTCCTCTTTCTAACAATACGATTAGTCGTCGCATTCATGACATAGCTGAAGACATTAATGAGCAAATTGTGGAAAAACTTTCTGGTTTATATGCCATTCAACTGGATGAAGCGACAGACAGTAATAACGACGCTCAATTAATATGTTACGTGCGGTACATGGAAGGAGCAAATGTATGTGAGGATTTGTTATTTTGCAAAGAAATGACTGATACCGGGAAGGCTAGTGATTTGTTTGCGATCATAGATTCATACATGAAAGAAAATAACATTCAATGGGAGAACTGTGTTGGTGTG